CCAGCTAATTTTGTATTTTTAGTAGAGACGGGATTTCTCCATGTTGGTCAGGCTGGTCTCAAACTCCCGACCTCAGGTGATCCACTCGCCTTGGCCTGCCAAAGTGCTGGGATTATAGGTGTGAGCCACCGCGCCTGGCCAACTGGTGTCTTTATAAGAAGGTGGCCACGTAAGACACAGGGAGAAGCATGTGATGATGAAGGCAGAGCTTGGAATGACGCAGCCACAAGCCAAAGAATGTTAGAGATTGCCATGAGCCACCAGAAGCTGGGAAGAGGCAAGGAAGGATTGCCTGGGGAATTGGGGAATTGGAGCACCCTAACATGCCTTTTTTTGTTTTTTTTTGTTTTTTTTTTTTGTTGTTGTTGTTGTTTTGAGACAGGATCTTGCTCTCTCACTCAGGCTGGAGTGTAGTAGCACGATCATAGTTCACTGCAGCCTCAAACTCCCGGGCTCAAACAATCCTCTTGTTTCAGCCTCCCTACTAGCTGGAACTACAAGCATGCACCACCACACCTGGCTAAGTTTTTTCCTTTCTTTTCTTTTCTTTTCTTTTTTTTTTTTTTGTAGAGATATGTTGCCCAGGCTGGTCTCAAGGTCCTGGCCTCCAGCGATCCTCCCCTCTCGGCCTCCCAAAGCTTTCGGATTACATGTGTGTAGCCACTGTGCCTGGCCCGGCCTCTGCTTCTATATTTACATATTTCTCTGACTCTAACGATCCTGCCTCCATCTTATAAGGAACCCTGTGATGATATTGGATCCACCGGGATAATCCAAGATAAATCTCCCTATCTCAAGATTCTTAATCACAAAAAGTTCCTTTTTCCATAAAAGGTGCTATATTCACAGGTTCCAGGGATAAAGATGTAGACATCTTTGGGGGGCTATTACTCTTCCTACCAGAGCACACATCAATAATCTTCTCATGAAATAATCACTCAAAGACTCACAAGGATTCTACTCCTATTGGGCCCTTGAGGACTCTAATCTATTACAATCGACATTCTCAGATATTATCAAGGACTAAGTACACGCATGCTTGTCACTAAGAGGTGCAAGCTGCTTTCCCTCCAAATACTCCACCACAGCCTCTTCATAATTCCCAAACAGGGAATTTAGTCCTCTGGAAAAGACATCGCAGGAAAACTAACCTTGAACTCAGATGGGATGGACCCTACACTATTGCAAACACCAGACTGTCCTGCCTTGGGTTCATATCTCAGAGATGAAGAGATATAAGACCTGTGCTGAATGGGAATCCACTGCCATTAGAGACCTCAGAGGGAGGCTCTTTCAAGAGCCCTGGAAGCGGATGAGGCTGCGTCTGTAGACAGCTCTCCCAAGAACCTTGGGTCAAGTAGATGACATCATGAGACAGCCTCCTCCCGGAATCAGAAACTCCAGGATTCCCTCCCACACACACTATTTTAGAGACAGGGTCTCACCATGTTGCCCAGGTTGTCCTTGAACTCATGAGCTCACACAATCCTCCTGCCTCTGTCTCCTGGGTACTACAGGTGCATGTCACAGAGCCTGGCTAGGATTCTCCATTTTAATACCCACTCTGGTCCTCCCGTGCCTGCTTCTCATCATGTGACTTTTGCCTTTCATTTGTGTTCTCTCTCTTTTATTTTATTTTTTTGAGATAGAGCCTCCCTCTGTTGCCCAGGTTGGAGTGCAGTGGCGTCATCTCAGCTCACTACAACCTCCGCCTCCCAGGTTCAAGCAATTCTCCTGCCTCAGCCTCCCAAGTAGCTGGGATTACAGGTGTGCACCACCACACCCAGCTAATTTTTGTATTTTTAGTAGAGACGGGGTTTTGCCATGTTGGCCAGGCTCGTCTTGAACTCCTGACCTCAAATGATCCGCCTGCCTCTGCCTCCCAGGCTCAAGTGATCCTCCTGCCTCAGCCTCCTGAGTAGCTCAGACTACAGGCACATGCCACCATATCCAGTTTGTGTGCCATGTTTGGAAGCAACTGTTGCTTGTTGATTCTCCAGAAATCTTTCTCTCTCTCTCTCTCTTTTTTTTTTTGAGACGGATTCTCCCTCTGTCACCCAGGCTGGAGTGCAGTGGCACGATCTTGGCTCACTGCAACCTCCGCCTCCTGGGTTCAAACGATTCTCCTGCCTCTGCCTCCTGTGTAGCTGGGATTACAGGTGTGTGCAGTCACGCCTGGCTAATTTTTGTATTTTTAATACAGATGGGGTTTTGCCATGTTGGCCAGGCTAATCTTGAACTCCTGACCTCAGGTGATCCACCCACCTCGGCCTCC